ACTCGCACATATTTTGCATAATTCGCACATGATTCAACACACGTTGTATTACACACGAAATAAGAATGATTACTAATAAACTTAAACTAAGTAGTATACCAAACCACACACACAGGTAGATATAAAATTATTTTCTATTACGGACCACCTGAATTACCTGAATTTAAATTCCGAAACTTTAGGTAATAATCTTGTTGCATTGCATGTTAATGACCGCCCTTGGATAATCCCATTCAAAAGCAATTGGTCACTTTCTTATATCTATGAACAGACCATACCAAAAACGATGAAAGGCCACTAAAAATAAAATATATAAATATAAGTGAATATTTCTGAAAAACAAGTCAGAATTTCTGGAATATATCAGGGTTTTTGACTTCTCACATATGACTCTCGTAATTCACCAGACATTAAAATATTGTGATTGTGATATATTCTGAATTTTCTCATTAATTAAGAAAGAAAGTCTTTATAGTATAATAATAATTAGGTTAGAGTGAGCTAGTTTCACCATATTATTTAGATAAATCGGATCACATTTGTCGAGTTGAAAATCAAAAAGGATATTCAATTTTTCAAGAGTGGGCTAAAAAATTGAACTTTGCGTTGGCCGACTGGGATATTTAGATTGCTTTCCGACTTCAACACAATGAGCTCTGTTATTTAAATACCGCCAGCAAATATTAACTGAACTAACTTACAAACCGAAATAATGAAATTTTCCCAAAACCATGTGTCGAAAGCGCTACTAAAGTCGAAAAGAGCTAAATCCGTAACCTGCTTTCTGTCTTCATTATGGTGAATATCGTTTCGTAATTTTACTAAACTATTTGTACTAAGGCGTGATCTAAACGCTGACTAGCAATTTGAAACAACGTCACTATAATTTTTGAAAATATTGGATATATTGGTCTTAATTTCGTATTTTAGGAACTAGTTTATGGAGCTCTTAATAATGTTTAAAAGCGATTCAGACAATACGTAATACATAGTTTGACATGTTTTATAAATAAAAATTCCATCTCGATTCGCGTTAATATAAAAAAAATTATTTATTATTTCTGTTAATTTCCATTTTCTCTGAGCAACATAAAATCCGATTTATATTTCATATTAGGATGAACATTAAAGTTGTAATAGTTCTTTTTTTTAATCCAATCAAAATGGGACTTCCGCACATTTTCGGCTGTGAATTACAGCAGGAACTTCACGTGAGGGTGGATGAGACGTAGTCGTTCCATCATAACTCCTGCAGGCACACGCATTCGTGTCAGAAATATTTCCCACACGGGCTATTCGTTAATTGACAAAGTCGGGTGAGTATTTTAACGCGAAAAGTAAGGAGTTGTTTGAACGGGCGACAGTGATGAAAGATGTAGGATTTCAGCGAGCGGGGGCGGGAAATAAGGGCGAGGGTTTTTCTCCGAACCCGTTTTGTCGGGGGCGGCATCGAAAAAGGGTCCGACCGGATCGTATCCCGTGGAAACTCGCCTATATTTGATCTGGCTAATTTAAAGATGACCCGGCGGTTTGGCGATTCTGCACGCATTCGGACTTTGGAAAGATTTCGGCTTCGTGATGGTGGGATTTTCTAAGTAATTCAACAAGTTTGTGGTAAACAAGTTTTCGCATCGTGGAACGCTTTCTACGAGGGCAACTTTTCGTTTTTGAATTAGACGACGTACCTGATCTGTCGTAATTTTTTTTGTAAAATTTTGCAGACAGAATATGTTTGGTAAATAATAATTGTAATGCATAATAGTAGAAAAATAACGTACCGATGGCAATGAAACATCTGACCATTCAGGGACGGACTTAAATGTAAGAAATGTAAAGATTGAGTATTATATTTTCGCATTAGTATCAATAGAATACGATGACACTGAATATATACTAATTATGGACAATTACCTAATAAATCCCGCTGTTAATCTCTTAACATCTGTTTTCGGATCTATACTTTTTAATTAAGTGTTCGATTTTATTACCACTTGTTTTTTATCTATTTTGCAATATTGAAATCCCATTTTACATGGAGAGGGGTTTATGCATGTCGTAAGCGTATTGCAAAGTCAGGCTTACTGTAATACGCCTAGGCTTTTTCAAAATGACTCGTGTTCGGTACCGATCTGGTACATTCCATTGTCGTGCTGCAAAATAGTTCCAATTATATTTTTGGGATCTAACGGCCCCCTGTCTAGTTTGGAGATCCCAATAATAACGTTTCATCAAATCCCTATCGGCTTTAATCTCTTGCTTGATGTTTACAGCATTTTTTCGTCAGCACGTTTTTATCCATGAGCACTTTCTTCTCTCTCTGTCATTATTTTCATATCCCAAGCGAAAAACATTACCCTTCCTTTCGTCGTGCTGGAGTTTGGTAAAAACAGTTAATAAAATGTGTATGTAGTATATAAGGGTTAGGATAATAGAATTAAATTCTATGGATTGCATTTTGCATTTTCCACTCACCTGCACAGAAACTATCTAGTTGTATGCAGTAACTGTTTTTCAATCTCTTGGATACTGTGTGCCCCTTCGCACATCATAAAATGAACATTAGTACATTTGTAACAAAACAAACTTCCACCGGCGCGCCCTTATTGGAAACTTACACATTTAGAATAAGCCTAACTGGGGAAAAGGTGTATTATAAAACGCTTAAATCAAACCAGGTGAATTATAAAATACTTCCATTTTCTCAATTAGCCTAATATCCTTCAGGTTATCTGTAATAAGCCTAACATTTTCAGTATTATTGTGAAATTTTTATAGTTTTACAATATGCTCATTCATTTTGAAAAAGCCTAGACGTATTATAATAAACCTGACTTTACAATACGCCTACGACATGCACATGCGCATTACATCTTATTTGCTAGTGTCGGGACAGTGAGCTTGAAATCGTCCTTCTCTTTCCCACAATTAACCCATAACAATTAACAATGATTTTTTGTAATTTTAAAGCTGCATTTAATGACAAGTGATTTCGATGCTACTGAACGTTAAAATTGGTGATATACTGGTAAAAAGCGTTTTTGGAAACGCAGGATAATGCGGGTTATTCAGTTCTGTCACTGATATTAGTCGATGTCGTTTACATCTACCTGACTCGCTGTCTTATCCTAGACCAACCTATGAATAAATTATTGGTTGTTGAGTTTACCCAGTAAAAATTTCCTTTTAGGGGAGGGTCTGTCAAAAGTAAAAACGATGTACTTTGAGACACACTACATTCAGAAAATGACGACTAAGATGTATTATATAGTTCAGTGTAGAGAACCAGTAGGGGCCGCCCAAAAACAAACTGTTTGTGAGCGATATAGTACCTAAGCTTGCATATTAGAGATATTAAAGATGGTGCTCAATCTAATCGAATGCCTTTGAGTAATCAAGCCATACAAAAACTTGAGTTGTTATTTACGTTATGCACTTGTTACTAAGAATCTTAATAAACGAGTTAGTTATTGCTTTGTAGCAAGTTTAAATTTGTTTTAGCGTAATTACCGCCGACACTGCGTGAAACAACTTGATACTAAAGTCAGCCCCCGCTCTGGTTTTCTGACGTTTTGGGAAAATATCACTCACATTATCTTTGAGGGGCAAATCACCATCCAAAATTGGTATACCAAATATCACACAACTATAAGATTTCACAAATTTCAATCAAGATTTGATAATTTTACCTTACCTAATAATAGGTTATTAGTTGGACTGAGGTGGCTTTTACTTTATTTGATAAAGGCACGGTAAATAAATCATTAAATAAATGTGAAAATCTAAACATTTTTTGTTCTAGTTTAATTTAATATACTGTGATTTTGTAATGTAACAATATTAGCATTTTCATAATTATATTATAAATAGTTAAATTAAACAAATTTGACAGCCGTTTACAGATAATGGAAGCCACATTCGACGCCTTTGGAAATCTATAATAGATAATGTTAGGCATAAATTCGTAAAACTAGAAAATAACTACGTACGAAACGTCACCTACACGTAAATTCAAACTTCATTTCATTGCAACTTTCACAGCATTGCGACGCTTTTGCTTTTAGTTTTTGTACTAGGAATATTTAGTACCTTTTAACTTTTAAACAGTCACTTTTCACACAAAAAAAAGCAAAAGCAAAAGGAGCATATGACGTATGTGAAACTGAAGTTAAAACTCCGCTACATTGGATAAGCGTTTATTCGTTATAACGTTGTAATATGGCTATTGCTACCTTCCATGATTGCGTAGTAAAGAATGTCACCTTATATGGAGAAAAACTATAGTAAATGATAACAACAATAAGAAACAATCTAAGAACGATCGAATTGAATTATATGCCTACAAGTATCAAGAACCGACAAAATAAGAACTGCAGAAATATAACAGAGTAGTAACAAGCAGACTAGGAAACAGAGCACTGCAATGTATGGTCACGACATAGGGGACGATCAGCACTACGATACAGACCTAACATTAACGGCGAACTCGTAAAGGAAAAATGCCGAAGAAGAAGGAGAAGAACAAGACCTAGATCTTTTATGTGCGTTTGAATCTGTATTGCCTTATCTTCTGTCGTTGTTTATGAATGATTCGCATTTATCAGTGACTTGTTGGGTCTCTCCTACGGTTTGATGACACCGGGATTAGAAAACTCGAAACATAGATCGCTTTGGAGCGCCAAAGTCATTCCGGCAAAATTTATTAGTTGCCCTTGGCTCCGTAACAGATCCATCAACCCACCAACCGAAGGCCCGGCGCACTTCCAACACGCAGACTTAAAAACGAAGAAAAATAAGGATAATCCGCAAAAACACTCTCCGCCGATACAAAGCACATTTCCCGCTAATACGCGAAAATATATCTTGTTGCGGGTTAAACTGTACAGGCACAGACTCTGCCGCATCGGGATTACACACACACACACACACACGCGCGCGCTCTCACCGAGCGAAGCTGAAGCTGGAGTCGAAACTCTCGCGTCAGTCGTCTCGCGGCACGAATTTGTGACGGTCGAGGAGAGAATTCCCGCGGGCAAAATTAGCCCGACGTTCGTCGTAATCTGCCCATGCGTTTTCATCCCGGACAATATTTTAGTAGGGCCGGAAGGCAACAACGGGATTTCACGTAACATGTTGTTGTTTCGTTGACTTTGGAGCTTGATCGAAAAATTTCTCTCGGTCGTATTTGACGTTTTTTCCGTCGCGTTTAGTGATAATTTTGGGAGCTTCGCGCGTCGTTTATAAATAGTTGAGTATTGTTCGGTGTCGGCGGTGAGATTTTAAATGTCGTGAGCCTGTTGTCCTTCGTCGATATTGTCCCCATGCGATCGGCCGGATGCGTTGCCTTCTTAATTTGGCGTGAGTATATTGTTCTTTAATAAAAAAGAAACACCCCTTGGATCAGAAAAATGGGCCCGTCTAAATGAGTTAAAAAATTATAAAAACCTCAAAGTCTCATCATCTTGGCCAAAAAAGTAATTACACCCTGTATAACTATTCTTAATCCCAAAAAAATATATATTCATAGGTAAAGAACATGACCTGGACGAGTCGGCTGATATCAGTGGCAGTGTTTAATAACCGGTTTTTCAGTGTGTTTTGAAAAAGCTTCTTACTGGAATATCATTATTTTTCTACACTTGTTTCGAAATCAACTTGTGGTCCTTAAATATTGATTTTGAAAAAAGTTTATGAATGTTTAATAAGTAAGGAATTCATTAAACAAGGAGGATTGGAAATCTGCCTGCTTGCAATAAATATGGTAAGGCAGATAATATATTCTCTTTATCAAAACTATATTGTTCGTACTTTGGATAAACTGATAAGAAAGCTGGAATAAGTCGACATTTCGGCCATTTTATTGCTTTTTTCAGGTCTGTAACAACTGTCTACTTATAAAAATATGATAAGACGGAAAATATCAAATTCATATCATATCCGTCTATCAAAACTACATTGCTTCTACTTTGTATAAAATGAAAAAGAAGCTAGAAGATGAAACCCATAAATTTATTAGCCATATGCCATGGAGTTATTTGTAAAATCGAATTTAAACACCGCAAAGATTAAGTACTTGGAAATTTAATTACCTTTAGGAAATTAAAACGTATAGATTCGAAAACAGATGTATAATTTACCTAGAGGTTCAATACACTTGCATGCTGTGTGCGAAGGATGAGTTGATTAGAGTTGAGTTGATTAAAATAAAAACTGTCAGACAAAAACAACTTAAAAAAAAGGAAGAATATCAACGACTCTAGGTTGGACTGTTATGAAGAGACACATGCAGAAATTGGTTTCAAAATTTTCTTTTCAAAAATATTCTAGATACTAATGTCATTTTAACTGATTTTTTAGTAATTTCATTGATATGTTTGGAAAAGTAATTTCGAATCGAAGTAAATGCTAAATTTATTCTTTACAACCATTTTATATTTATATATTGTATTTATACCATTTAATTAATATTCAGATTCATTTTGTAGAACTTGCACCAATTGCAAAAAAAATATTCCAAAATCTTTGGTTCACAATCTTGAACAGCTAATAATATTGTAAAAAATATCATGTCATCTGCAAATTTCATGTTAAACACAAAACGACCTCGAGGGGGAGGCAAGGTGGTCCACCAACACATTATGGAGCGTGCCCAGCTGGAGCTGCGACTATATAGAATCTGTCCCATGAAGTGAACCTGCTAAGCAGGTGGATTCAGATATCGACGGAACAACAAATGACAGACAAGACTAACTGGGGACAGGATAGCGTTGATTCACTCAAGAAGGAGACAAGGAGGAAGAGAAGGGAAGAAGGTGAACAACAGAACATATAGTGTGTAGTGTGTAGATGCTCGGCGGTGAGATAGTGGGACAATTATTCAAAAGCAAGTGCTGATATCCCAGAACTTAAAAATCTGAAGAACATATCCCTCCACAAAATAACGGACTTTCTTTGGTGGACTGAACTTGATGGGGGAGGTGGGAGTGGGAGAGTGTCGGCACAGACGGACTGACTGGTCGCAGCGAAATGTCGATAAGACTGTTGCACACAATAACCTAAAAAGACAGTGGGATCCTAGTCCTAATTTATCTGCGGCGCGTCATTGTCATAACGACAAGGCATTCAGACCTTGCGATCCATTATGGATAGTTTGGATAGTTCCTCATGCTAAATGAATTCAGCTCCTACCCCGTTGCCTCTATTGGTGCGCGGCTGATTACGAGACGCATTAGAGTTTTCTTCTTTTCTAAAGTCAGCCTTCAGGTGCTGTTATCGTCCAACTCAATGATATGAAGATCCTTCTTCGATGGCAGTATCCTTTTAGAATTCCTACCATTCGAAGTCGCGCGAGTCTGCCACTGATCACCAGTACAACCCTTGACAGTTCCGGTAAACTCTACTAGAGAAAACTTCCCTAACTATTCTTTTATTCACTTCGCTCTTCAGCATATTATCTGGTCCAGAGCTTCAGCCATTTCCGTGTACACAATGAGCGGGTTCCTAAATGAGAGTGACAGAATTACAATGAAATAGAAATGCCGAGTTCACCCTCACAGAGGTAAGAGCGTGAAGAGCTACTTGACTGTCATTAAAAATATTTGCAAGTATTCGATAGAGTGCCCTTTGCTGAGGTTTTCGTAAACACATAACCGTGTCGCATAAATCTCTGCTTGTGTAGAGATACCTAGAGGTACAGATATTTGTGCCCTAGACCAACTGCGATATATACCAGCTCCTGTCCGTGTGTCTTGTTTTGAACCCGTCAGTGTACCAGTGGGGACAAGAATATGTTCTCCAGTATAGAGCCAGTCGTCTTTTGTAGGGAATCTCGTCCTGTGTGGTGGAGGCAGATACCAATTGTTGGTAAAATGAAATCAAACAATGGGTTAAATGGCCGTGACTGCAGCTTCGTACAAGAGCATATCCATGTAGGTGCTGATGCAGCAAAAAAATAATTAATTGTTATAAGACAGTAGGCATATAAATGTACAGAAAAAGAGAACACTGAATTGAATTGAATTGAATTAATTGAATTATTGAATTAATGATTTTATTGAAACAAACGACATTTAAGAACATTTTTTTAATCTAATAATATGTTTATGTAGTTGGGGCCGATAAAGAATTTAGTCTATCAAATATGACAGCATGCCACATTAGAGAATCTTGTATTATGCATTTTAAGCCAATTTATATCCTTACATGCCTTCTTCCACGAATGTCGAAGATCAACCTCAGGCACGAGTTTTGGAATTCCTACATCTATTATCAGATTTCATTTAATTTAGTGACAGATTCGCATAAAATTTTTTAGTGTCGTGATTTAGATTAGCATGTTCAGCACTGAATCAATATTTAATTTTAATCCTTAAATCTGAATTTATGATCTAATAATAAACCTACGTTTTTCCTCAGTGTTTTTAAATAGTATATCACCCGGACTCAATTTAAGATAAATGCTTTCAAGAATGTCGGGCCTTAGTTTTCTGGACTAAGCAAAATGGCGACCGATTTTCTGGGATTAATCTTTTTTGTGACGAAAGGCCAGAACAGAAGCATAGTTATTGGTTTCAGGATGTAGCTATTATTTTAACTTAGATAATCATAACATTGATTAACAGTTATAAATATGTTCAGTTAACAACTTCGAATAACTTTATTTATATGCCAATATCTCCTTAATTCCTGATCTATTTTGAGAAAATCAATTCGAACAATTTAGAAATAAATCTAATAGTAGCTTATTATGACAAAGGCAATTATCAGGATGAGAAACCACCTGTGTGTTTTCGGCGGGCTTTTCGCCTCTTTTATCGAAGAAACCCAAAAGGATTTGAATATCTACTACGTAAATCCGTTGTGGATTCTTCCCTTTGCCGCAACGAGGAAATTACATTTACGTGTTCCAATCGGGCAACGTAATAGAATTGAAAATCAGATCTCCTACCCGGAATAACTAGATATACGCTTGTTTGATAATTTACCTCCGTTTATTAACATTATTCAATTTATTTCCAGGATATTTTGTTTGCTCAATGGGACGGTATTATTTAACGGAATTTTTGGATTGGATGAATTGCTGCGCATACGGTCCTAAAAATAAGAAAATGTATGTTTTTCGCAGTATAAGGCTTTATTTAAGGTAACGGATATTGCTTCTTCTTCTTCTTAATATTAGGTATTTCATAAGAATATTTATAAGGGTTTTTATAGTTTTACAAAAAAAATCATTAACGTTACAATATGTGAATATGACGTATATGACGTATATGGCGGCTATTATTATTTTTTTCGAATTGTATTATAAAAAAGCATATTCTTGAAAATTGAACACATATTTTTTGAGAATTATAGGAAGAATATTTCATGAACAGTAATTTTAATTTCCAGGTTTTTCCAAAATTACGTTTTAAAGGGCTCAAAACGAGTGCGCTCCAGTTTTACAAACACAAAAATAAAATGTCATTGTAGGAAACTTGAGTTTGAGTTTTTATTATTTTCAATAGGACCTTATCATAATAATGCTTAATGTAGAAATCCAATACTATCAACTTTATACTAAATTTTAAACTAATTTTAGTGACAAGGGCACGAAAAAAAATATTGTAAACAAATTATATAGGAAAAGGTTAGTTTTGATTAGTTTTATAAACACTGTAGAATTGATAACGGTAACGAAACTATATTCCTTACTTAACTACAACTTTACAGATACAATTAAATGTGGATCAGTTTTAGTAGCTTTTTACGAAATTAAATGCGACTTGGCAATACTGGATAACAGTAGATTTTTCTACTATTGGCAACAGAGTTGGCGCAGAAGCGTCAATACAGTGTTGTAACCTGCTTATGCGCGGTTTGGTTGTATGGGACGTCGTGCTATTGCTAGTCCGCGGTTGTTTTCGTTGTTGCGCATTTCTAGTGTTTTCTTTTGTTTAAGATGTATACCCGGCTTATTTTGGTGTAAAAATTGACCACCAAGAGAAGTCCTGGGCTCCTCATACTGTTTGTTCCGTTTGCGTTGAAGCATTAAGAAACTGGCAAAAAGGTAGTAAGAAATGTTTAAGCTTTGATGTTCCTTTGATATGGCGAGAGCTTAGGAATTACAGTGACTCTACTATTCTACCAGATGTAACCGTACCTACTGCCCCAAAAGAACTAGAAAACATCATATCGTCAGACTCAGAGGAATGTAATTCCGACCCAGTTGACTCAGATTTCAGAGAGCGTGAAGTGTTTAACCAGAGCGAATTAAATAATTTAATTAGAGGTTTGCACCTTCGAAAGGAAAGGAAAGGACTGCTGGCGTCTTGCAACAACATTCCTGATTTATTTTCAAAGTTAGGAAATGTGCCGTT